TACACTTTAATAAAAAAAACTTTAAATGAGACGAAACCACTTAGCATTCAATGGATTCGCGTTGCAGGGAGAGCAGCTTCTACAGTACCTGGGACTTGCGACTCAGGTGTAGGTTTTTATTATTGAATAAAATAATATGTAAAACAACTCAGGAAACAGTTTTGTATACTATCCTTTAAAGAAAATAAACTAGATCTACAGCAACTGTACAATCTGTGAATACGAATATAATATTATTAGATTAAAACTCCTATTTGTAAATGAGTAGTGTTTCATAATTATTGTTGAGTTTATTGTCTTACGTAAGAAAATTTTACTAGTAATTTCAGTGAGGTCAGTCATAGTTCGATCTTAACTAAAAAACTTATAAGTAGCTTAAAAATAAGGTACCAGACGTTATTTTAAATTAAGCATAATATACAGTAGGAGTAGTAAGAACAAGAAACACATTAATTTTAATTATGAGTTGCTGAGGTAATTATATAAAGGGTTATTAAGTCACGGAGTAACTTGTTTTGTTAATTGTCTGACTTACTAACATAAGATTACGTAGTTACTATGTGCAATGATTAAAAAGTTCACATTTATATCAGACATTCAAATGCATATATCAGTTTTTTATTCGATTTAATTAAGTAATTAATATTTCAGGAAGCTTATGCATAATTGGAAAAAACTATTACTTTGTCCTATTATTTAGTAAAAATTAAATGAAGAAATGGTTTTCACTCGGTAGCTATGTACAACAACGTGGTTAGATCAATACGTCTATCTGTTAAAATGGTTTGTTATATTTCAATAAATTTGTTTTGTTTTTTATATGTGAAATATAATTTATGTCTATTTATTAGAATACTAATTTGAGATTATAATTGAAAAATATAGAATTAGATTTAAAAAAAAACAAAATAAATTTGATGATACATAAATAAAACAATGATTTTCGGTTATACTGCTCTAAATATTCTATTATGCTGCACTTTACTCTACTTTTTGGTTACTTTAAAGTAATCACGAGCAGACGAGTTGAATTTTATATAATCCAAAAAAAATTATGTGAGAAACTAATAAAAAAATCATATAAAAATTCTTAAAAATTATTTTTTAATTATCACCTATACATTGTGTTGCAAATATTTAATTAAATTTTTCATTAAATTAGAAGTGGAGACATTTCTGATCTTGTACTTTATATACATATATACTTACCGAAATAAATAAATAAGTTATATATATAAAATAATTTAATTGAAACATGAGCAAAAATCTAAACCATAAAAAAACTCTATTTTATTATGATTAGAGTTTTGTTTGAAAAAGAAATTACTAGATATACTTTTATTTTACTCTCCACTATTGTATTTTCAATTAACCAAATGTTTTTCAATCCTGCAGTGACTTCAATATCTGTCTGAACCAGCTTGATGAAAAAACTTTTAATCAACTTTAAAAATTCTAGTAAAAGCTTATGAAATTTTAATATCACAACATTTTTCTTAAAACTTCTATAACTTGTTTAATACTTAAAAAAGACTTGTTAAGTTTTAAAAACTTTGTCATACAAAACTCCTCTCAAGTATGTTTTTATTCTGCAGCTTAAATGAAACCTTCCATATAATAAGCCTAAGTCGAATATCCTACGTTAAAACTACAAGGAAGTCAAATGTTTACTTAAATAGAAAAGGCAGGATATCCTACAGATTAGAATCATTACCGGCCAATACCTCAGAGACGCTCTGCTTTTGGTTGTAATATTTTATCACCATATGAACTGAAATGAACACCCAGAATGTTATTGCAAATTAAACCTTATATATAAATAAGTAAGAATCACTTTACTTTATTGGAATTTACCTTTATATATTACAGTATGTTATTATTGAAGCTATTCAAAATTTTTGTCTAGAACTTCTGTATCTGTCGTCATAATGCAATCAATGTTATACTCCATCTGTGTTTTTTAAGAAACATTTCCCACACAACAGACAGTAGGTACTCTTGAACTAACAAGACAATACACACTTCTGCTGCAGCTTCTTGCTATTCTAAACAACAACTATAATAAACTAGTTGCATAGATTTGTATAACTATATTTTTATCTCCGTTAATAATCCGTACACCCAATGTTTCAACTTTCAGCATTAAAGACTCCTTTTAAATATAATACAGTTTTAGTTTTTTTATTAATAAAAGTCAGAAAGATTAAAAATCTATCTTTTTTACATACATTTACATAGTTGTATACTAGCAACTTCCAAAGCGTCTATAAAGATCACTGATGCTATTTTGAAACTATCATATTTAAGCTTTGTAAACAATTCATATAATTTATACGTTTTAACATACTGAGTATCTCTTATTAATAAGTAATTCTTCAAACAAGTATATAAGTACATAGCAATAGAATTAGACGATTACAGTGGAATGAACTCGTAAAACAGTGATGGCCTAATGGTTAGAGGGCCCGCCTCTCGTTGCCGAGGGCGCGGGTTCGATCCTGACCCGGTCAAGTACCAATGTGATTTTTCCAAGTCATATGCACTTTCTAAGAATATTTAGACATCACTAATTAATGCTGATTCCCAAAAGAGGGTTGATGTCAGGCAAGGCGACGGGTCATAAAAACAAATAGCCAAAACTATTCACAACATGTAAGGCAAGACCCTGGCTATAGCTGGGAAATTGCCAGGTCGAAGAAGAAGAGTGCAATGAACTCGCGTTAATCATCTTTCATTGCATTGCATATTATTATGCAAAGCAGTGAGACATTATATCAAGTGGACGCTATACTAAGTCCGGTAATCTACATATTTTCCATATTGCAATTTCCATTAGAACTATACTTCATATTGGATGACTCCTGTAATGACCCTATGTACAAATAGAATAGATATATATACATAAATTTTTCTTTACGAAAATTAAACTTCTTAACTTTATTTTGTTATTAAACCATCATACTTAATGAATGATCTTATAAGATAGAATATTTTAGCCAAATTGCACTTTTTTAAATTAGATCTTTATTTATTGATATCTTATACTTTTGCGGGTATTAGTAAAGTCTATATTTAAATAGATCTCTTTTTAATGATAGACAGGATTCAATGTAATTTTATTTACTGACGAGTTTAAATTTTAGTCATTTAGCTGCGAAGACCAAGTTGGCCTCTAAGAAACTTGGTCAGTTACAGAGCGTATTGGGGCAAACATTATGCACATTAAATGCAGTATCACTCTTATATCTGGTCTGGTATACTCTTATACCTACTTGGACTTTTTCAATCCCTTCAAAAGCTTGTTGTGCAATTTGTTGATGATCACACGCTCACAGATTGTATTGAACTTTTAGGTCTCAAGAGAGGTCTGGTCTCCCTTTGTATGTTCTAACGCCTGTATAACAGATATTTTCTGTTTGACATTATGCTAACAGCCACTTTTCATCATCATTTACAAACGGCAGGGAGTGCAACTTCACACTATAGCTCACAAATTGTCGAACACAAATTTCGACCCTCGAACGCTGGCACTATTACATGTACTCCCCGATGAGATTCTCCCTAGGGGCTAATGCATGGGGTTCTTCAAGAAAGAAGTGAATAGATATATCTCAAAAGAGAACGGTATCATGCAAATAATATCTGTGATAAGTAATACAGATGTAGATAGGCTATGGTGATCTCTGTTTGCCACCACCGTCACTTAAAAGAATTCCTATTCCTGCTCGATAAAATTAATTTTTTGACACTTTTCCTTTATCTCCCTCAATTATAACAGGAAACAAGATGCGAAACTAATTTGTATTCATAATTAAATAATACAATATTCCTCGTATTGCCATTGCATTGTTAGAACATTGCATGATATTGTTATACAGTTAAACAGATGTTCAATTAACACGTTTATTGTCTCGTGTCATGACGTGTGTTTTATTTCCATTGTGATGTTGCATAATTCTATTTATATTGTTTCGATCAATAGATGTACTAAAATAAGCATTGACCCGTTTGGACTCGAGCCTTATACATAAACTTTTTCCATTATTGGAAACTATAAGTTTACAAGGAAAGTTAGTTTAAATTCCACACTTTTATTATTCCGTAAATGAAGTAATTGTAACTTATACTTCGGTCACTCGATTTCTAACTGAGATTGACATAAAATTTTAAATTTTAGCGTTTCTCTATTACCTTTTTATAAATAGCAATATTAAATTTAAACGATGTTAAATTATTTATTCCTTAATATATTGTTGGTTGATAAGTATTTAATATTAGTTTAAGAAGGATTTCGTATTAGAACCACTTCACTATTTGCCTGCTGTATCGATAGCTCTCTATTTTTGAAGTCATACAATATTAAATTCTAGGATATAAACAATTTTAATATCTTGAATTAATCAAAATTAAGTATACTTTAAAAGTTTTTAATACATATCGCACTTACTAACTTTTACTATTACTATTCATTGGATATGGCATATTGTGTTCCACATTTTTAGGATCAAATTTACCTCTTAAAAACATATGTACAGTGTATTTATTAGTTTGTCGTTGTATCGCTGTATCCATCTTTGGATAGTTATAACTTTAGCCTTAATAACACAAACAATTGATTAATCTTACGAACGTGATGATCAACAGTAAACGGATTTAAACTTCCCTTACTTACGAGTAACTTACCTTTTCCGTGCAGCCGCTCACATACCTCACGATATACATAACATTATCCAGAAGACTGTTAAATTACATCAATTGTTGTATTTTATTGCAACGTAAACTTATAGTAAGGTCTTCATTTGACTTGATGCCCTAATTCTCAATATTGAAATATGTTAAGATTTTATCATCATAATCAAGGAACTCGAGAAAGATTAACAATAAGTTAATTATCTCATGTTATAATAATGTTGGAACATATAAACTATACTGGCGTTATCATTGAACTCTGGAAGAGATAAGACGAAAACAGTCCATAGTTTTTATAAAAAAACTCAGAGATGGACGCGTCTCTTCTTATACCTATCATTTTATATTTTATTGATATGGTAAATAAATATTTTATTTAAATAAGCATTCTTTAAATATTAAATTATGTTTGTTTTCTTACCTTTTAGGTGTACGCATCTCTTTCGTATAAACTGAACGATGGCAATGAGATACCAGCGATAGCACTTGGTACAAGTCTGGGGCACTTGGCTGATGTAAGTATTTTTGAATGAAAGATAACAATAAAGACAATAATACACAAGTTTATAAAATGTTAAAGGGTACCAGAGTGTTGTCAGTGAACCACTCGCTGGCTCAGGCCGTCCAAGAAGCACTAACGGCAGGTTATAAACACATTGATACGGCATCTTTATACAGAGTTGAGGACGAAGTGGGACTTGGAATACGTTGGTATTTAAACGATACAAATAAAAGACAGAATATTTACGTCACTACTAAGGTAAAAAATTACATATTAGTCCCTTTATTATGAAGGCTTTATTTGCGTCCTTCGTATATATGAAGCTGAATTTATTTCCTTCATAAACAAAGTTAACGGTGTCAGTTTGACGAATGTCAATATTTCCTTTCATTTAATATAAACTTATTTATTTAGCAATATTTCTGTATATACAAATTTATTCAACGTTTTTATTTGTGTCCAGAACACTTAATTATATACTTAACCCTATTATGTTAATGGAAGGCAGTTATAAATTTGATGTCTAATTTGACTGGATATTTATTCATTTTTCTTAGCATCTCTAATACATTATTAAATTTTTTAGTTATGGAACGATGCTCATGCTCGGGAGGAGGTAGTACCAGCCCTGAGACGATCCCTACAGGATTTGCAGCTGGAATATGTGGACCTCTATCTCATGCATTTTCCTATGGCATACACGGTATATTACAGCATAGTTTTATTAAGTTATTGATACACAACATAATTTATTATGCTTCCACATTTATGTATGAGTTTTAAATTAAGTAAATAATGGAATTAATTGCCGATTTCTCCCCTGAATTACCAGAAAGATGGAAACATAAGCGACATCGACTACTTGGAAACGTGGAAAGGATTAGAGGACGCCAAAAAATTAAATCTAACTCGATCAATTGGTGTCTCCAACTTCAATTTAACACAGATGAAACGTTTGTGGAATCACTCTGAAATCAAGCCAGCTGTGCTACAAATTGAAGTATTTTTGTGATTATATTATAACTACGTAATTTATGATGAGTACATAGGGCTAACATAATTTTGCTCCACCAAGGTCAATCCAACAATAACCCAAGATGAAATAATAAACTGGTGTGATGAACACGCTGTCATCGTTATGGCATACAGTCCTTTCGGTGCCATTTTGGGTCGCAAGAAAAACTCTCCATTACGTGCAGATGACCCTTTATTAATAAGCTTAGCCCAAAAATACAACAAAACTGTACCACAAATCTTATTACGATATTTGGTGAGTAACATAGACCTTTCTTATGTTTTATATAAGACTTCTACGCGATTTACATGGAAATTAAAATTGTATTTAACAATTTTTAGTTAGATAGACATCTAGTTGTCATCCCTCGATCAACAAACTACAATCGAATTAGAGAGAACATTAATATAACAGACTTCTCTCTTACGCCCGAAGAAGTGAAAGAATTGTCGAGTTTCAATAGAGAGTACAGGTTAAGAACACAAGTCAAATGGTATCCCCACCCACACTTCCCCTTCCAGAAGAAAAATCTCACGGAATCTGAAATAAAGTACATAATTGAACACAGTAAAGAAGATTAGAGATTACATGTTCGTATATTAATACTAAAAAAATCCAACGTTATTAATTAAATTTTAATCAAATAACTTTTCCTTTTAACGTAATGAATGAATATGAAAGTATGCAAATAACAATCAATTAATTTCTATGTTGTATTACAAACCATAATACAAAGTTTTAAAAAATCCTATAAAAATATTACATATAAAGCCTTTCCGAATTGTGATTCTAAATAATAAACAGTTGTTCATATGTTCAATTAAATCTGCCGATTGAACACGTAAAACATTTTATTACACTTATTCATTTGAGAGGACAACCTGCCAGTTAAACTTGGATCTTTTTAACATACATTTTGTTTGTGGATTATAACTTGAAATCCTTTAAAGTCACAATAACAAAAAAAGTTTTATCATATTGTCATGTTGACAATAAAATTATTTAGGAAACTTTAAAGTCATTATGTTTTTATTAAAAAGATATAAAATAATATTCACTTGCAATTAGAAAATTATCTAAAACTGAAAAGCAGTCGTTTAAAGCTATTTAAATTTATCCTTAATTAATTTTAATATGTCAAGAAATGTTTGCCTAAGACAAAACACTGTTTTAATTAAACAACCAAAATAGCTACTCGTATTTGATTCTAAACATATAAAATCGATATTCACATTATAACATTTTCATATAAGTTTATAACACTATAAATATAGAAATTAATAAGATTTGGACAACAAAGAAGTTATTCTACTGCAGTAACCGAAATTATAATTTCGAGATAGTTAATATAATATGCAAAAACTATCAAATATTTATCACATTATACCCACATAATCACATCAAAGGCTCATTGTTTGATTTAGGGACTACATCTGGGTCTGAATTGGATTGTTAATAGATAATTGAAATAACTATTATTATATTATAATACTGGTTTATCTTACGACGATCCCACCGAATCCGATGTGAATCAAATATCAAATGGGATACAATAGTCAAATGTTAAATCAATGGGATACAATAGTAAAATGTTATTCGGAAATTATACAACTATCAAACCTTGATATGGAATGTTATATCACTATTATCTTGTCCATATGACGATTGGAAATAATCTGTCGAACTATATAGACTCTAATATCATTCAATATATAAATAAAGTCTGGTATGAAGAAAATTTAAACGCTAGAAACAGGACTCTTCATTGTTCTTCCCTTTTGTATGTTATCAATAAAATATTTTACATACTTATATTCGATTAATATTGTTATGCAATTTTTCTTAAGCACACTTGAATTGTACCAAATTTATTTAAAACATACGAAATAACTTTAGAAAAGTGTTATCAAAATTTGGTATTTAAAATTACTATACAAATAAATTAAATATACGAGACATACAATTTTATTACTAGCACTGAGGATCATTAACATTAAAGTTTTTAAAGGTATTAAAATAACAAATAATAAAAATTATAAACATTAAATAAATAATAATAAGAATAGAATAAGCCAGCTGAAGTGGCAGTGGGCACGGTGGAGCAAGCGTGTCCTTGAGTGGAGACCGCGACTGGGCAAACGTAGAGTAGGACGCCCCCCAGCTAGGTGGACCGATGACCTTAAAAAGGTCGCTGGGTCTCACTGGATGCGGAAGGAAGAGGACCGAGTGTTATGGCGCGTGTTGGGAGAGGCCTATGTCCAGCAGTGGACTGCAATAGGCTAAATGATGATGGTGATAAAATAATAATAATAATAAATACAAATAATTTTATTTCGTTGCAACAATATACAAACTATAAGAGGGGAGGCAAAAAGACGATTCATGTTTACCATAAAACTGCTTAAAGAAAACCAAAATCAAAATGATGAATGTTAACAAAGTATAAAATATATGAAAATACTTCGGATGTAAAATATTAGATGTTGAAGCGGACCTTTTCAATGTTTAATAACGCGGAACAAGTGAAATGTTTCTCATAAAAAGGATGAGGAGCCTCGCTTTCAATATCTCACAATGGACAGGTATTCGGTACGTGCTCTGATCAAACTTAACTGCTATAGCTTTCGGACCCAGCTCATGACATAAAACAGAAAACCTTATTTAAATAATCAATACGTTTCAACAAAAATATTTTTTTGTATTTAAGTTTCATCTATTCAAATTCACAGACATATTATAAGCTATTAATTACATTTTATTTTGAATGATATCCATTCATCTTTCGAGTACATATGTGAAGTGTTTAATATTATTTTCAGCATTAAAATTTTCTAATATTAACAAATACCAAAGTGTTTTAGGAATATCATAAAAATACTTGTATTTTTTTTTATAAAAAATATTTTATACGTAATTTAAAAATTGTATTCAATACAATGCTCAAAGCCATTAATTTCTTTTAAAAGCTACGACTTACAAACTAGTTGAGCGGACCCGGTTTTGTCTGTGTTACTAGATTTAAGACACAAATAAAATGTTTCATTGAAAGATGCATTTTTTTGTTTCCATTATTATCAGATACACACAAACAAACAAATGGACGTAATGTTTTTTTAGTAGAAATGAATTAAAAACGGTATTTTTAAAATCATAACATATAAATATTTATTTTATGAGATCTAAATCTTTATTCAAGTAGAATATTATTGATACTGGTTAACTTTACGATAATTCCACTTTCATATTTTCAAAAAAATACGCAAAGTTAGCAGATTTTAATTTATTAAAATACTTTTCATTGATAGCTTTTGATATAAAATATCTAAAGAGAAGAACATCCGACCCTTTATTTAAATCATTACACTTTTTCAGCTTCATTGAACTTTCACTGAAGCCAAATTAATACCAGATGTAGGTAGCTATTTGTTGTATATACATATTAGGTAGATTCAACCGTTCTTTACGTTACCACATATTAATTTCTTATGTATTATCTAAAATTATAGACATTTTTCAATATTTGTTAAAAATTTTAAATAACGTAATCCTTATGTAAGTCCGTGGAAAAAACTAATCTAGGAAACTATACAGTATTACCAAAGTAAGTAGCCGAGGTTTTTAAATTCATCAGAGAAGTTTATGGTTGAAATATGCCGACAAAAAAAAACACAAGGTTTTTATCATAATTTAAGCGTAATTCGTATTTTAAATGAACGTAAACAGAGCTGTAATTGCCATTATTATGAATATCATAAAATAAAGGTACCTACACACAGGTAAGTTGTTTTAATGATACATTTAAAACAAATTTAAAACGAAACGTGCTATGAATTTCATCAAAGCATTTCGTTTATTTTATTTCAACAAGAATAAAATAATTTTTATCCATTCACTGTAACGTATACACTATATATATTACAGAAAACAATTTAAATAATTTAATTTATTAAAAAAAACTTCAAGACAAGTATTATAACTTTAAAAATAATGTGCAATAAGAAATACATTCTGTTACTCATTAGTGAAACAATTCTTCATTACAAATTTACTATAACCATTCTCTTGTTGAAAGATAATTTTCGCTAAGTCTATGCAATAAGATATGTTTGTACGTCACAATACCAAGTTATGATTTGTATATAGTAAAACCGACAAAAGATATTTCTCAATTAAACAAGTGAATATTAAAATCAGTTTTGTTTTTCTTCAAAAACTTATTAAGAACACACTATCGAAGATATAGCTTCTGTATTTATAGATTGGGTTCAGTCATAAATGTAGGTCTTTATTTAGTAGAATTCTACAACTCCTTTATACCTAACGTGAGAACGTTATCGTCTTTCAATTAAATATGACTTTAGTACCTTAGGTGACTAAAAGAAGTAAAACAAAATTTTTGACAATCTAGTGGTCATATAATATATGAACATAACAGTAAGGCGTTCATTAAATGGAAG